AACGAATTAGGGTTTTGGCCAAGAACAAAGGCTGAACCAAGGAGAAGGTATTAAAGCTTGCTTGTGGGTTGAACTTAGGGCAACAGAGGGCTTGAGAATAGTCTAGGAATTGTCGAAAAATCAGAGTAAACAGTTTAAGGTTTCAAACTGAAACCTAAGACAAGTTCTATATCTTACTCCTTCCCTTAGACATATGTTCTGTGCATGCCTAAATAGTCTCCAGGATTTAATCGGACTGTAAAACTGATCATGTATGCATATTAATTATGAGTTTTAACTGTATTATATGTTGTTAATTGAAAATTAATGTATCGTATCAATTATTTCATGTTATGTATTTTAAATTGTTGTTAATGATACATACTGTATTTCTATGAGTTTCTGGGAGTATTTGAGACATAGATTGAAGCCTAGGAACCTTAATAAAACATCACAAAGGGTTTTGCAACATCGCCGGAGGCAAAGAAGATGAAGGGTTTTAGTGACGGCTCTCTGGGAGAGAAAGAACCAGCTCTCCATAAGGAGTAGAGCCGGCTCTCCATGGGGGAGAGCTGGTTCCAGTACACCTAATGATGTATTTTGATAATTTTTGGAACTTCAGGGGTTTAAAGGTGATTATGGACTTTTATGGGGGGGGGGGGGGTTTAAATGATTTAAATAAATATGTTAAAATCACAGGATTGTTAGTTTGTGCTATTATGCTAAAATATTGGATATCATGAAATTTAAATACTTATTTGCATGCTGTCAATGGATGTGGAAGATTTAAATGCTTGTTGTTGTTCTAGCAAGTTAAATGGATTAGTATGATTATACTCATGTATAACTCAGTATAATGTGCTCAGTTAATTGTCTGATTGTCATTATATCATTCTCTGGATTATAATTAATGAACTATTTATTTTTGTTTTATCAATTATTGGATTGTTTTGTGGATTATATGCACCGGTATAGGACGGTGGTATATTAGAGATGGATTAGTTCAAAACACTAAGTCCTACCTATTCTGGAATAAGATAACGGATTAACTATAAAATTTAAGTTCTACTTATATTCATGTCAGGTCAACGAATAGTTGAATGACATTACTTTAGTTTTGGATGGATTTATATATATATATCTATGGTACCACGATATAAGCTTGAGTCTCAGGATCGATGTTAGGGAGCGTATATGCAGTGGGATGCATAACTGGCTATGATGGTAGATGTGTACCCTGTTAGCTTTAGGTACTCATGCACACTTCAAATGCGTTTTGCATGTTGCCTACTAGTCAGGTTGAGACCGCATTGTAGTCCAGTGAGAGTCCCTTAGTGTGGATATATATATATATATTTATGAACTATTTAGTTATTGTTGAGTTGTCTAGGATGTATTTGCGTATTGAGTCTCTGTTTGGATTGTAGTAGAGTAAAACTTGTTCGTGGGCCCGACCCACTATTATTTTTTTCAGTTGTTCGACAGTTCCAGTCTTAGAGCTTAATCGTGCTGAACAGAGACAGTCACTCACTCCTCCGACTACATAGGACTATTACTTATGTTTTAGTTTTGGTTTTCCTTTTCAGCTCAGTTATTTATTTTCCATGGATATTATTAGGGTTCCACTAGATAGATTCCCGAGTTGTAATAATATTAGAGATCTTGGCAATATTGGATTATATAACTTTTAAGGATTATTATTTAGATTTCTTTCAGCTAATTTTATTATTTATTTTTTAATTCTTTTGTTCTCGTGCTTGTTTACATGTTTAATTGTTTGGTATCCCTCGGATTTGTGTTTGGACTTGATCACCCGTGACTCTAGAATCGAGGGGTATCACATTCTTGTTACAAAATTATTCATATTTCAAAATCCACGTGCACAACTATATACCAAGTTAACAACACATTTAGATCTATTAATATATTTAGAACTTTTAATTCATTATTCTTTATCACTTCTGGAATTGAGGTGAATAAATTTAGAATTGCTAATAACCTAATACATTTAGAATTACTAATTCAACAAAAAATAATCAGCCATAATTCAAAATTCAGCCACTAAAAAAAAAAAAAATCATCTAATAAATTGATAAGACCTAAGAGAATTAAGAGTGGACCACATAATTGATATTTTCTATAAACTCTAAGTGATTTGGATTATAGGATTATATTATATTATATTATATTATATTATATATACCGTATCATTATATATATATAACATAACGGTTCGGTTCGATATAGTTTGGTCCTAAAAGACCTCAAACCATATCTTTACGGTTTCATAAATTTTGAACCGTGACCGAACCAAACCAAATTGTCCGGTCCAGTTTGGATTTTTAGTTTGCGAGGATTTTTATGCACTCCTATATAGAGTATTGTTGTGTTATGGTAAGCGAAGAAGGAAAATACGACTTTTAGGTTATTTTTGGCATTTTGCCTTTTGCTTATTTATTTATTATTATTAATGATAAAGTAAGGTTAATTTAGTAATTTTACTGCAAAAAAAAAATGATTTTTCCTTATTTGCAAAAATTGAAAAAAATAAGGGGGTTTTCAAACAATAGGGGGTAATTGCACATTTTTGTATATTATAAAGGTTTTTTTGCACTTAACCCTTAGAATAATCAAATATAATTTTACATATGCTATATGACAATCAAGTTTTTGACTAGAATTATATAAGTATGGAACATTTTTGTATTATTGATTCTAAAGAGCGTATATATTCCTAAAATTTATAATAACTCTAATATCCAAATTCTAAAATCTAGTTGATATGTATATAACCATTATATATTATATAATACACTTAGAAAAAGGACAATACTTGGGTCCTCCCATAAAAGGATGAACTTTATCCTTTCAGCTGATGTGACCCAATATAATTTAGACACATGTTCAAATTTTTAAAAATTTTAATAATGGTTATTATCCAACTTCTTATGGGTTAAACCCAAACCTAATTTTTTTCCTCGAAATTTGTAGTATTCACAAACTTTTAATCTTTCTTTTTCATATTTTCCACCAATGAGGAAGGGGGCCGGGGGAAGGGGGGAAACTGTTAGCCCTATCAATTGAAGGTGTTGGGAACTTGTGAGAGACTCAAAAGATAGATCTAACTTTGACAAAAAATAGATTTACGAGAAAAACTAACTCTGACCCGAAGTAAATATATGAAAAAGCTCAATTCAAATATAGGTATTAACATCAAATTTTTATATAATATTTTAAGCTCCTATTTATTCTATATTCAACACTTGATATAGTACATTATTAAATAAATATAGTAATTTTTCAATTTCAAATGGAAGTTGGGTATAGAAACAATAGTGATTCTTTTGGAAAGGAAAAAAACATACAAAAATTTGGGATTCGGTTTTAACCCGAAAGAAAATGGGTAATGATTTTTTTTAGAAATTTTAAAATATGTCTAAATTGTATTGGGCACATCAACTGGGAAGATGAACTTTATCCTCTAAAGGGAGGACCCAAGTATTGTCCCTTAGAAAATACCCACCATATATTATATGTATATACGTATTTGGAAGGGGAAAAAAAGAAGAAGAATAAAGCATCAATTTTGTATCCAAGATAAAAATAGACAAAAAAAGAAAAAAAGAAAAAAAAAAGACCTCACCAGATTCATGAGTTCGTGTTCGTTGGGGAAAAAAAATAAAAAGTACATTGGTGAAAAAGAGAAAAAATATAAGAAACCATTATGGGGATATAATAGAAATTTAAAATTCAATTGTATCATTTTTGCGAGAAACAAAAATTTCCCGTGTTTTATAAAGGAATAATTTTAGACAAAATTAGTTACTTGTGAGAATCCCAAATTCCTGAAAACTTTTGTTTCATCGTAAACAAAATATTTTTCCATTCCTTTCCTTTGTAGTTTCTTGCTAGTTCTATATATCCAAACTCACTCCAAAAGAATTTTAAATTTTTAGTTTCTTTTCCTTTCTCATTACTTCACGTTAATCAAATGAAACTTTAGGGATAGACGCAATGAAAATGATTGGATTATTAGATGTGATGTAGCTAGGGGTGGGACTTGGGCGAGTTGGGAGGGTCAAGTATTAGCCCATGCCAAATCCAAGATCCTAACACCTTAGCCTACGTCAAGCCAAAGTCCCGTGAAACCCATCACAACTCAATCCGCGCCAAACTGCTCGGGTTGCATTGGTTTTTTTAGTTCCTCGGGTTATCCTATAGTACTAAGAAATGAACATTACAGAAATGAAAATTTCAGTAAAAAAGGAAAAAAAAATAAGGGCAGTGTTAGAACTTAGAACTGCAACCACCAAGTAGGGTTTTCTTTAACACTTTGGTGATTAAAACTTGTGGACTTCATGAAATATTCTTAACTAGAATTTGAAAAGAATTCAAATTCATATACTCTTTATTATATTTTTTCATAACTAAAATTCAATTAATATAAATAATTAAATATTAAATTACCTGGTACAAAGTTTTCAATTGAACTTTTTGCTTATCCTCTTATCTTGCAAAAACGGAAACTTAGATAAATGCTTTATAAACATATGTATAAAAAGAACATATTTCATTTAGCTTTTTTATGCCTACTATAACTAGTTATTTCGGTTTTCTATTAGCGGCTTTAACTATAACCTGGGCTCTATTTATTTGTTGTATAACATTAAAAATATTAAAAATTGTAATTTTTTAGTATCCGTGTTAGTAAAATCTTTGTCGAAATTTTATTTAAAAATAAATTCAAGTTTTAAAATTTAAATCCAATCCCAATCTCATGATCCGAATACCTCTTTGTCCACTCACATAAAATTTTCAACAGAGAATCAAATTATTCGGATTAGTCCCACCCGATTCCCAACTGATGTAGCCAACGGAATTCAACACGTTCGGGGTTAGGGTCGGCTTTTGTACAACCCAAACGCTGATCCGGATATTGTATGGATCGGGGCTTTTTTAGACTTTTCACGTTGAGAAGAGAAGACAAGAGAATTTTATTCATAAACAAAGAAGTCTTTATCCCTTTCTTCTCTCTCTTGCGTTCCCCTCTTGCCTCTTTGGTTGGGGGATAAGAGAGAGGGTTTTCGTTCTGATGCTCAGAAAAAGAGAAGTCTCTTCTTCTTAAACCTTCCCCGTCGGGAGGAGAGAGAAGAAGATACTTACTTTTGAAGAGAGTAAGCGTTGAGCTATAGATATATACATATATTTAAAGAGATATATCTTTTGGATTCGCCATGGATTTAACTCTACCAACCACCAATGATGGCGTGGTCGCTCCGAATGAAAAGGAGCCCTTCGCGTCACTGGTCGATCCCTTCTTGGTTGAGGCTCTTCAAAACCCTCGTCATCGTGTCACCAGTGAGTTTCTTTTTACGCTTTTCGTTCCTATTTTATCCTGATTCACTCTAATTCCATGCCTTTACTCATGTTCATAGATTGATTCTGGGTGTTAGATTTATTATTTATTTTATATTTTAGATCTCCCCTGCAATTTTTGACCTTGTGTCCTCATGTCCTTCAATTACGTATCTGTGCGTGTATATTTCATTGGACCCTATTAGGGTTAGGGTTTGAATGAAGAGTGGATTGGGATTTAATGTTCTAGGGACGCGTAGCTGTGTCAGATCTGAAGAGGTTTGTATTGTCATTTAGTATTCGTCAGCTTTATTTTCTGCTGTCATAGAAATTGTTTTGTCAGACTATATTGTAGATCTGATATCTCCAAGATTAATGAAGCATTTTCTTTTTGTGTGTGAAGACCTAACGTTGTCACTTGTAGTAATTGAATTGGCTAGATATATGTGTGTTTGTATGAATTGAGGAGAAACACGACTTACATGTGTGCATACAATATACATGCAGAGAAGAGCTGCTTCTTGACAACTTTTTTATATTGGTTGATCAAATAAACTTTCAATAGCTTTTATAGAAGCATAATCAAATATGTAATATTGTGATTGAATTGTTGTAGTGAAAAACCAGTCTCATGAAAAATTGGAAAAACAGCAAATTTTAGAAGTGTTTTTATATGAATGTTTATGTGATAATCATTATTGTTAAGACTTTTTGATAGAAGGGACGATGTATAAACTATCATGTCTTATTCTCATAACTTGTTTGGACTTCCTTCACATACTTGAACTGAATTGATGATATCTAATGACAAATTGCCTTTTGGGTCTCATTTGTGATTTAAACTTTTCTGGTCTCATAGATATAGTCGCCATGTCATACATCTAATATTTAAGATTTTTATTGCTATGTGTAGGATATCATTGACCATGAATTCTTTTTGAATATAGGACCCTCTTTTTATTCATAAGTTTTTGTTTTTAAATCTTATTTTATTTATTTAAAGTGGGATATTTTTCAAGTTACTATACTGATATAGAATTGAGTTATTGCAGTGAATTACTATTTATGTTACCACAGTGAGATAATCTTCACGCTATTGTTATATTGAACTTCATAGACTTGGACTTTGTTTGGTTAAGTACAAGGCAAATGAAAGGCGATGATACCATGAGTTATGAAAAATAGTGCTGACCACTCTTCGTGTTTATATAACTTAGGAGAGGAAAAAGGAAAAGATAGTAACAACCATTCATTGCATTTCGGAAAAGATAATAGAGAGAAGAACGGAAAGGAAAGGATTGTTTTATTGTGCATGTTAAGGGTAAAAGGGAATTCACTTGCTATTAAAAAAACAAGGGAAAAGAAAATAAATGTGCAATGGCCAACGAGTTTGTAAACCCCTCCCTCCAAATCCATCCCGTCCTCCTCTTTTTTAAAACAAACACAAGTTTAGATTATTCTCCAAACCATTCCCTTTCTTTTTCTCTCATTTCTGTCAATCCAAACTGGTCGTTATATTTCCTTTTTATGGCCTCGTTCACTTTGTATTATTACCTACTACTGCTGCTGCTGCTGCTGCTGCTGTTGTTGTTGTTGATGGTTGGATTACTTTAGTTGAAGGGCTGCAAATTATTTGTGAAGGTGTTAGGGTTGTGTTGTAATTAACTAATTATTCCTTGAGAACTTAGGAAATTTTTAGTTGAAGTGTTGCAGCTTTAAAATGTGTATTCTATGTTACTTATAAAAAAAATGTGCATTCTATATTGAGTATTAAGTCTATAGAAAGAAAAGAAAAAGTAAAGGGGATTGCAGGGAGGAGATCTCCCCTTAAAGTATGGAAGGAGATCTCCTCAAAAAGTAAGGAAGAGAATAAAAAAAGATTGGTCTAGAAAATAAAGGACTATTACTTGAATTCTGAAAGAAGAAAAGATTAGAATAATTATCATGACTGCAATCCCTTTTGGGGTTTCTAAAGACAATTTACTTTCGTACAAGAAAAAAAAGAAAAGCAAAAGAAAAGGAATTTTAAGTATTGTGATGCAATTAACGTTTCTTGGTCTTATGGTACACTGTTTCTATTTTATTTTTTCAGTAAGAATGGTGCTTTGTCACTTTCCTTCGCACTTACTGAATTTTCATTAGGGTTTTCGAGTTATTGAAGCCTCTTGCATGCCCAGTAATAAATGACAATCAAACAGAGTCTGGGTCAGTAATATGCACTTGAATATACAAATTTATGGTTGCTTGCACCTAATACAATCTGTAATTATCCCGGGCATGCTCTAGATATTTTGATCATAGTAGGCAAGATATGCCTTAGATTCAGAAATGTACTACAACTTTTGGATACACATTACAAGTTTTTATATATGCATAAATAGTATATGTATCAAGGTATTAACTTGTAGCAACTAGTAATTGAGGCCATAAGGGTAACAGATGCAATGATGCGGATTCGTGATGACATGGTTACCAAAATTTTTTATTTTATTTTTGGTTGCATTAAGCCCCCAAAATGTTGGTGTGCACACGTTTTAATGCCAAATCCCACAAATTTGGGCTTTAAATGTTATTTTGATAAACTTATAAGGTTGTTTAGTACGAAGAATTTTACATTGAGGAGGATGGCTTCACTTGGGGTTTTTCTGGGGTGTATGGGCCGGTTGATGATGGTGTGAGGGATGGATTGTGGGAGGAGTTGAGTGGCGTGAAGGGGAGGTGGTCTCTTCCTTGGTGCGCGGCAGGAGACTTTAATGTGGTTAGATCCCCGGCGGAGAGATCCACAGATGGTCCGTGGAATTAGGCTATGATGCACTTTTCTGATTTTATTGAAGGCCACTAGCTTATTGATCTCCCTCTTGAGGGAGCTTCTTTCACTTGCTCCAATGGAAGGGAAGCTCCAACTTTCTCTCGCCTTGATAGATTTTTGATTTTCGGTGACTCGGAGGAGAAGTTCCTGGATGTTGTTCAAGCTGTATTGGCTAGGGTGACGTCGGACCACATTCCCTTGGTTTTGGACTGTGGAGGTTTGAGATCTCGCAGCACTCCTTTCAGATTCGAGAACATGTGGCTTCGTGCGGATAATTTCCAGGAATCTGTGCATTCTTGGTGGGAGGAGAACCTGGTGGTGGGTACCTCGAGCCATATTCTTGCAGGAAAGCTTCGACTCCTGAAAAATAATCTCAAAAGGTGGAATAAGGAGGTGTTCGGGAGCTTGGTGTGGAGGAAGAATAGGGCTTTGGCTGATATTGCTGAGATTGATAGATTGGAAGGGGAGGGTGTTATTTCTGAATCTCAACGTAATAGGATAGCAGCTTGTCAGGCAGAATGTGTGGAGATTGCTCTTTTGGAGGAAATTTCGTGGCGCCAGAAATCTCGGGCATTGTGGCTCAAAGAGGGAGACTGGAATACGAAGTTTTTTCATAGAACTGCTAATGCTCATAGGAGGAGTAATCATATTGGGCGGATGTGTGTGGATGGTGCGGTCTTGACTTCGGAGGAGGAGGTGCGAAGCGATATTCTCTCTTTTTACCAAAGGCTTTATTCTGAGCCTCTTCGTTGGAGGCCACGTCTGGTCTTCACTTTGATTCTATTTCTGCCTTGGAAAGGGATGGGTTGGAAAGTCCTTTTTCAGAGGAGGAGGTGCTGAAGGCTTTAAAGAGTTACAATGGTGATAAGTCTCTAGGCCTTGATGGTCTCACGATGAGATTTTTGTTGGAGAGCTGGGAGGTGGTTCGATACAAGATTATGGGCACCTTTCATGAGTTCCATTCCACGGGGCAGTTTGAGAAATCGCTTAACGCATCTTTTATTGCCCTTATTCCTAAGAAGGGTGGTGCTTCTAATATCAAGGATTTTAGACTTATTAGTCTAATTGGGTGCATTTACAAGCTCATCGCAAAAGTCCATGCCTTTAGATTGAGGGAGGTCTTGGATGGAGTTATTTCTGAGTCTCAGAATGCTTTCATTGGGGGTAGACAGATCCTGGACTCCGCCCTTATTGCCAGTGAATGTGTGGATTCTAGACTTTGCAGTGGGACTCCTGGTGTTCTTTGCAAGTTGGATATCGAGAAAGCCTATGATCATGTTTGCTGGATATCAAGTTGGAGAGGATGGGCTTTGATGAGAGATGGAGGAAATGGATTGTTTCATGTGTTTTCACTGTCAGGTTTTCGGTGTTGGTGAATGGGTCTCCTTCGAGGTTCTTCGGCAGTTCTCGCGGCTTGAGGCAGGGGGACCCTCTCTCCCCATTTCTTTTTATTATTGTTATGGAGGCCCTTAGTAGGTTGATGAGAAGGGCGGTGGACTTGGGTTTTATTAGGGGTTTCAAGATCGACCCCGACTCAGCTCAGCAGATGGAGATCTCTCACTCACTTTTTGCGGACGACACTATTGTTTTTTGTGAGGCAGAGGTGTCCCAGTTAAGGTATCTGAGATGTGTTTTGGTTTGTTTTCAGGTTGTTTCTGGCTTGAAAGTTAACGTGGGTAAGAGTGTGATTGTTCCTGTGGGGGAGGTTCAGGAGGTGGACACTCTGGCTGCTGTTTTAGGGTGGGGGCCGCAACGCTTTGCCGCTGGGGGACTCGGCCAGGAGGGTGGGAAGTTGGAACCCAGTGATTGAGCGGGTCAAGAGAAGATTAGCTGGTTGGAAAAAGCAATATCTGTCAAAGGGTGGTAAAGTTACGTTAGCGAAGAGTACTTTGTCTAGCCTCCCAACGTACTTTCTTTCGCTTTTTCGGATTCCAGTCTCTATTGTTGGAATAATTGAGATGCTCTAACAGAACTTCCTTTGGGGGGGTCGCGGAGAGGAGTTTAAGTATCATCTTGTCAAATGGGAGCAGGTTTGCAGGCCTATTCAGTTGGGAGGGCTTGGAATTAGGAGATTGACCCCTTTCAATAGTGCTCTTCTTGGCAAGTGGCTTTGGAGATTTGGCAATGAAAGACATAGATTATGGAGAAGGGTTATTTCGTGTCGCGTTGGGGAGGAGAGAGGAAGGTGGTCAGTTAGACTAGTCAGGTCTGCTAGTGGGGTGGGGGTGTGGAGGGCCATTGGAAAGGGGTGGGATGTTTTTTCCAAACATATTAGATTTAGAGTTCGGGATGGAAGGAATGTCCGGTTGTGGGAGGATTCATGGTGTGAGGATACATTGGCTCTTTTGTTCCCCAGGCTTTTCAGGATCGCTGTTGACAAACATGTTATGGTTACTGACTGCTATCGCCTTGATAGCGGAAGGTTGTCTTGGGATGTGCGCTTCCAGCGAGCTTTTCAGGATTGGGAGTTGGATGATGTCACCGGGTTTTTGGCTCTCCTATATAGACAGGAGGTGGAGGGTATTGGTGCAGATTCCTTGATTTGGGTGCCTTCTTCTCAGGGGATGTTCCAGGTCCGGTCCTTTTTTGTGTGTCTCTGGTTTTCATGGTACCAACTTCCCATGGAAGACGGTGTGGATGTCTAAGGCGCCTCTTAGGGTGGCCTTTTTTGTGTGGACTGCAGCTTGGAGTAAGATTTTGACTTTGGACAACTTGAGGAAGCGAAGGCATATCATTGTTAATCGATGTTGTCTTTGCAAGATTAATGGGGAGTCAGTGGATCATCTTCTGTTGCATTGTCATGTGGCTCATGATTGTTGGAGTATGATTTTTGGCTTGTTTGGTATTCATTGGGTCATACCTCGGACCACTTGGGAGTTGTTGGATATTTGGAGGGGCCAATGGATGGGGGCTTAGGCGAGAGTTTTCTGAAGGGTGACCCCTTTTTACATTTGGTGGAGCCTCTGGAAAGAGCGAAATGGAAGATCTTTTGATAGGAAGGAGTCCTCCATTGGGGTGCTGAAATTTTCTATTATTTGTACTCGTTTTTTGTTGGGGTCGGGGGAGAGACTACTCTTCTCTTGAGGATATTGTTGACTTCATGGGCTCTTTGAGTTCATAGGATCCGTTTTGTCTTTGTATAGCTTGGGACGCGTTTCCCTTTTGAACGCTTTTTAATACATTTTACTTATCAAAAAAAAAAATAAGTTGCTCTTTGTAAGAAAAGCTTACAAATTTTGTAACCTTCAGTAATAATTGCAGTGAAGCATTTTTTTTGATAAATAATAATTATTGCTGTGAAGCATGAAAATATATTATCTCAATGTCACATAAATACCTTGTGATGTGAAGGTGCAACCAATATTATGTTTTATATAATATCACCACAAAAAAAGAGTAAAGTAGAGGATCCTTACCGAGATTAAAAATTGTGAGTGGGACTTGTTACTTCATCTCCCTGTATGGAAATATGTGTGTAACAGTTTGTATTATGTATCCTCCTGTGAACTAGAATTTCTAGTTGGACTTCAAACTTCATTTTGCTCCAATTTGCTGTCAAATGGCATGCATATTGCTGTTATTTTATATACTTATCATGCTATACCAGAAAAGAAAAGTGGGTGTTGGGGGAATTAAAAGGAATCTAAGAACCATGTTAGGAAAATTAGCTGACAGAGAGTATGAAATTATGTAGTTACAAGGTAGAAGAGTATTTAATGTCTAAGCCTGGAATAGTTTCTTTGGGATTGGGATGGCAACAGAGGATGGGTATGGAACATATCTACACTATCCTGATCTCGCCTTCATCTGATCCTGCTGCAAGCCAATGGAGGGTCACATTGTTTATTAATCTATCCATCTCCAGCCCATCATCTCACACCTGACAAGCAGCACTTCGGGGAGCTTCGACCTTGTATATGGACAACCGTCAGCCACATAGTGTTGTGAATAATAATTAAAATATCATTAAAAATAAAATAAAATATGCATTAACCTGAAAAATTAAAACACAGTCAGAAGATCTTAGATCAGATAATAAGCTTCATTGGCACAATGGTTAAGACGATCAGTGGTGGTAATGGTGGCTTTGTCTCGGTGGTGGTGGTGGGGTGTGTGTGTGTGTGAGAGATAGAGAGAGAGAGACTGACAGATAAGGTTTTTTATAAAAGATATATATTTTACACTTGTAAAAAAATATGTATTCTATTGACACGTAAGTAAAATACATGTACAATAATGGGATACAGGACTCCCTGTTGCTGATATCACCCAAATGCAAAACGGCTTTTCCTTTTTCTATTCAGTTCAGTCCCTATTCCATTTAAATATTTTCCAAACATGTCTCAATAGTGGTGGGGCAGGTAGAAATTTGTCTATTGCCACCCTTCTTTGAGATGCTCCATCTCACTTTTATCTTCGTTGCTGTCTTCAGTTGAAAATAGGATGGCTTTTAATTGTCAGGTAGAAAAATTGGATTAGGGTTTTTTATGCTTTAGTTATGCTTTTTTTTTTTTGGTATTTCAGTTCTGCGGATGGAACTCGATATTCAGAAGTTTCTGCGAAATTCTGATCAGCAGCAGTTTGAGTTCCAACATTTCCCTACATCCTACCTTCGCCTTGCAGCACACCGTGTTGCTCAACACTATGGCCTGCAGACTGTGGTTCAGGATAACATCTTAGACGGTCTGGGAGCTAGAATCATGGCAAGGAAAATGGTAGAAAGCAGATACCCTGCTGTCTGTTTATCAGAAATACCAGCTAAACAGTCTGAAAATGACAAACATGAGCAGATTAAAATTGTCATTAAGCCAAGGCCTAATAAAGCTTTTTTGAATGGAGCCAGTGAACTGGGGAGCAAGCGTAGTCCTGTTAGAACTGTGGAAGAGAGGAAGGAGGAGTATGATAGGGCAAGAGCTCGCATTTTCAGTGGCCCTAGTAGTCCAGAGTCTGAACATACATTTTCTCAATCACCTCTAGATGTGAAGAATTTGTGTTTGGGCAGAGAAGAGCATGAAGGTTGCAGGAACTCCATTGTTGATCCCGAGAAAGCCTTCTGCATTAGGGACATTGGTTCTTCTTCCCGAGTTGCTATTTTTAGAGATAGGGAGAAGGATCGCACAGACCCAGATTACGATCGGAATTATGAAAGGTAAGCATCCCTTCCTGGATTTGAATTGGCATGGAAAGTTACTTGGTTTTTTTTTTTTTTTTGATAAGTGGAAAGTTACTTGGTTGAAAGCTATCACTTTGTATTTGGGATTTTACTAATTCACATTTTCTTTCGATTATCTAAATAAGAACACAACATTTAAGCCATTTGACCATACATTGATAAGGATGGTTATGCAATATAGTAATACATAGGTAATGCAAACTAAAAGTATAGGAATCTTTTGGACACGTCTCTGCTAATTGATCACTTTTTTTTGTTATAGTTGCTGCTCTAGGAACCTCATATCAGTTAATGCCTTGTTACATTGATGTATATAGAAGTTCTGTAAAGTGTTATTTCTTTTGTGATTCCATGAAAGTGTGATGTTGCTGTACCCAGTCAAGTTCACCTTCTTGTTTTTGTTTTTTTTGTTGTTCTTTACCCGAGGTCAGGAAAAATATTATACCAAGATATATATATATATATGTGTGTGTGTGTTGTCTAACAGGCTGTGGATGGTGGATAAATTGTTTTTTTGATCCACAATCAATTGTTAGTTGAAGTAGGAGTGATATTATATGGCCTCATGCTGTCAGACTTTCTAATTTACATGTTTTTTTTCCATTTGAAGTTTTTTACGTGTGAAAGTGCTCTAGACCGTTACCCAAGGCTTTGATAAGTCAGTGTGGGAGCAACAAACTTGACCTAGAGGGGATTAAATAGGTCTTATGGATATTTTTATGATTTTTACTAACCTTTCAAAAATCGTTAATCTTATTTAAATTCCTGTTAGTTGTATCTGACTTTGTGTTATTAGATTTTAAATTTATAACTTAATTTTTTTTCCCGAATATTTATAACTTAAATTCCAATCAACAGATTCATAATTTAGCCACAAACAGAGCAGGGACAAATGAATTTTTACGTGAATTACCCAAGAGGGGGGAAACCACAGGACCTAGTCCAGTCAGGCACAATCCACAAAGTTCACTCCCCTCCAAAACCCTAGTTACCTCTAGACATAGATGACGCCAAACTTCCTTGCCACCCTTCGAAGATGTAGTTTCTTTTTGCCTAACAGGCTGTGGACAGTGTATAAATCGCTTTTTTGGTCCACAATCAATTGTTAGTAGGGGTGGTAGGATATGGCCAAACTGCCTAATTTACATGCTTTTTTCCCTTTGAAGTTTTTGACGTGGGAAAGTGCGCTAGACTGTTGTCCAAGGCTTTGATGAGTCTGAGTGAAAGCATTGAACTTGACCTAGAGGGCAGGGGAGATGAATAGGTCTTATAGATATTTTTCTGCTTTTAATAAACCTTTCAAAAATCGCCAATCTTTCAAAAATCGTTAATCTTTCAAAAATCGCTAATCTTTCAAAAATTCCAATTAGTTATATTTATGACATTGTATTATTAGATTATAGCTTAAAATTTCAATCAACAGATTCACAATTTAGCAACAAAGAAAGTAGTAAGAGTGGAGAAATGAATTTTAACTTGAAAACCCAAGAAGGGAAAAACCATATGACCTAGCCCACTCAGGCACAATCCACCATCGAGAAAGAGATACAACTAGGTTAACAGTTCACTCTCCTTCAAATCCCTAATTACCTCTAAAGACAGACGATGCCAAACTCCATCAAAAGTCTGTACTCCGTCCTTTCACTTGTCTACTGCATCCACTCCTCTTGAACCTCTTTCTCTAATGATTGCTGGCTCATGTCTGCTCTGATTGTTCATTTGAATAGTATTTGGTTGTGATTTTCTACTTGTTTGAGTGTTCAATATCACAAAGGAAAAATCTATGGGAACCCAAGATTTAATAAAACAGATTTTTCTCTCAAGAACTTTTTATCTATGGATGATTGCTTAGACTGGCTATACATATTTATATCCACTAAATAGGAGATTTTTTGAGGGAGAGGAGTCTCCCATTTGGGCTATTAAATACAATATTCTTTCTTCTTTATTGTTTTGGGTAAATGGGCGGGACTGTAATTCAATGGATTCTCTTTTGGATTTTGTGGATAGCTTAAAGCTATAGTGTTGTCTTGGACAGCTGTTGCCTTCTTTGGGAGCGCTCCCCTTTTGAGGGCCTTTTATAAAATCTTACTTATAAACAAAATATATATTTATATCCAATATAGGAATCCCAGACGTTTTAGGAAGTTCAAACCTTGTAAAATTGTATTTTGAGTAGAGTTACCAAAAATTCAGGCCCAACAGGTTCGATCAAATTGCATTGGACACTATTTGATTGATCGACACTTTGATCAATGTATTCTAGTTTTGAAAACAGATTTACCTGGAATATCTTGACTGAACGACTTTTTGATCAATGCTCACCGGAAACTACTAGATCGATCGACCATATGATTGACAGTTATTGTTTTCTGGTTTGAATTCCAGATTTGAAAAATGTGTAAAACTTAAATTTTGAAAAACCATTATTCAGAAACACTTTCAAAACATACTTATGAGCCCAACCGAAGTCAAATTAGGTCAAATGGGGTCATTTAAGGTTATTTACCTATATTCTAAATGTGTAGTTGAGGATGCGAATATTCCATTTTTTTTTTTTTTTCGAGTTGGTACTCACACACACTTGTCTCTTCTGAGACTTGAACTCCTGACCTCCCTTTGGGAAGTAAGAGACTGATACTGTTAGGCCACTGACCCGTTGTGTTTGCTTTGTCATCAAAAGATGTCCACGAACGACTTAAGATACTTTGATGCATTACAGTGTAGGTTTTGAGTAGGAATACACCTACACGATTCATATACCTAACAATATGTTTTAATAAATATGCTGGGTTAGCCTCTTTTTGACACATCTAGTAGATCAAGATTCAATTGTTCTTTCTGTAGCTCTTTTGCATCATACGTCGATTTATCAGAAAATTGTATAATAATTGTTGTACTGAGTATTTCTTAATTTTTTTTAAAAATAATTATTTTTGTTTGCTTAAAATATAAAAGCAATTTTGATGTAATTATGGGTGTGTAGTATTTAGAAATTTTAATTAACTATTAAATGGAGGATATTGCTTGGTGTAATTGTAGAAGCTTGGGTTGAAAAGCATGAGGACTTGGTTCGAGTTTAAGAACAAACACTTTTTGCAAAACAATGCTGAATGTCATGTCCGTCTTCAATCATCTCCTCCCAGCATCTTGTGTGGGTGGCACCTGCCATTGAGTAATGGCCTTTTTTATACTAACCGTGGTTATTGAAACATAATATATATTTTTTATTTAAAAGGCCTTATTGTGGATGCAATATTTTAAGATAAGTGGACCCCTAAACTATCCAAACTAATTCATCTTTTTGACTGATGCAGGTATGTCAAGAGTATTCCAGCTAATCAAAACTCTAGCTTGATGAACATGCAGAAGTTTCAGCCTCCATTTGTGCAGTATGATACCATAGTTCCTAAATTTGGTCAGATGCCAAGGTCCCAGGCTTCCATCAATTTCAGAACCCCTGCTATGAGCCCTTTTTGCACCACAGGGTTGAATCAAACTGCTGGAGATGCTGTCTACATGCAGTGGCCAACTCCTGCCATGATGTATGCACAGTCATATGATCAATTTAGGCATGCTGTTTTTCAGGTACTTTTAATTCCCTATCCATTATGGCTTCTTTCTTTCCCCCACAAAAAAAAAAGGAAAAAAAAAAGACACTATAGCCGTTATTTTTAGCAAAAATGGGAAGATTATAGTTGTAACAAATGGACATTATCTGTATGATTTTGCTTTGTTGATTTACTAGTTTAAAGTTGGGTACGGAAGTTTTAGGTATGATTCAATAAATGTACAAAGTATCTCGAGTGACCAGCATATTTGGGCCTTTTTTTTTTTTTTTTTTTTTTTTTTTTCTGGGCATTTCCTGTTCATGTCTCACAAAGCCAGTGTATGCTTGAGGGTGAATTTTCTCTCCAGAAAAAGTTTTCAAATTAGTGTGAAACATTGGTGAGTGACACGAGATTGCAATAATGGCGAGAATTGCTAAATAGCGTGTTTAAGAATTGAAAGCCTTCTATAAGAGATTCTATGCATATGATGGCTTCCCTGCAATGATCATGCATGTTCATCTCCGAACCTCATAAAGTGCAGGGCATATCGAAAGTGCATTTTCACAAGTAGAATAAATAAATTTTGCATCAGAGAGCATACAATGACGATTTCTGTTGGATATGCTAAGATTTTGCCAAAAAAGTGAACAATTTCTTATGCTGCTTAGGAGTTGATGGCTCTGCCAAGAGTCGCTAATGCTCTGAAAAACAATTCTTATTTCAAGAGGATGTGATTCTTATTTCGATTCCTTTTTCTTGAATGTGAAATTGACTCTGAGATTGAGGTTTAAACATATTGTTTCTACAGATTAGCTGGTTTTTTTTTTTATTTTCTCCCCCCCCCCCTAAATAAGTACATCGTGAAACAGATAGCAAGGAAAATGTCAATTTCAGCAGCAAAACTGATGTGGTTTATGGTTGATATCAATGTTTTGCTTTTAATATGGTTAAGAGTAACATTTAGTCTTTGGTTGCCATGTTTTCTAGTCGCATGGGCTGGATATACCAGCAAGATCATATATTTTGTAAAGTCTGTCAGCAATATCATATCTAGTACCATATGGTATTAGTTTTCCTTGCCCATGTAACTTGCATAATTTGTGTCTGATTAATTCCCATCAATTCACGAAAATTTTACTGTTTTGCAGGCCCCTTACTGTCAGCAGCCTCTGAGCTTCAATTATTCACAAAACCACTGACAATCTGATGGGAAATGTCTGTACAACAGAAATTATTAAATGCAGTTTGCCCTTTTCATTTAGGTTTGCTCTTATTAGGTTATTTGTCAAAGACAGGCTTGTTATAATCACCATCCTCAGTTTCTTTTTATTTTCGTTTTGGTGTCTTGACGTTAGGGATGGGGTATGGATGCTGCTACTGATCTAAATATTTTATTTATTTGTAGTGGAATACATGCATATTTGCCATACACAATTCTTCTATAAATATTTTTAGGGTAAATGCATATTTGGAACCAAAATCTTTCTTGTATTCACATCACACAATGATTGATATAGATGTTTTAGTATTCATATGATGTGTCTGTATATATAAAATAAATACTTGGGAGCAGTATTAGAGAGTCTGAATTCGGAACTCTTCCTAACATTTCCCCGGTCGGACATGGATCCCCTCCGGTATATTCTATCCAAGCTTACATCTGACCTGAATTTTAAGTCTGATCATGTAGATGTTGAAATCGAAAGTTAAAAACAAAACTCAGATGAAAAAAAAAAAAAAAAAAAAAATTTGTTAGACGAATTACAATCAAAAGTTAAAAACAGGAACAGGGTGCCATTATGCCAGAGGGCTGGGTGTGCGGTTCTTAATTACAGGCAGCCTGTGTGATTACTTATCATAATTGGCCTTGACTGCATTGCATTGCATTGGTGTGGGATGTGTCTTTCAATTTTTAGGTGATAATATTGTTCGAATGATTAAAATCAGAGCTGGGCATGTGGACAGCCATCCAATTTTTATAAAAGTTGTTAAGACTAGAGAAAAGATATAAAGAAAACATTAGCCAAATTTTAGTTGCCTGGGCTCCATATTTGCCTGCATCGATCTCAAACCCACCCACCCACCCATTGTTTAACAATGACATGACATGACATGCTCGATCAAAATGACGCGCTTCTGTTTTAGTTAAACAATTTTCTGCTTAAGGAAGATGTTTGCAATCACATCTAGATCTTACATGGAGGTAGGTTATATATAACTTAATGAATTTGAAGTGTAGATTAGAAGCACTAGATTGGAATTCATGGGGGAACAAAGGAAAGAAACCAGGAATATAAATAATTCTGTTCAAGCCAAATAATAGTGGGCATTTATGAGAGTATATTGTCCTTTTGATGTATTCAAAAGTGCAGGAAGTCGCAAAAACACAACAAGGGCAAGAGTTGTTGACATGAGACTGATCTTTGAAAAGGCTGGCTACACTGTGGCCCCCAGAAAAATTCATTTGGGATTACATTCAACAGGTATATTTGCACATAATTAATCATTCTGATTCAAGCTAGAATAATACTCTCGGTTGAGGGGCCATTTATATCTGGAACTCAATCCTATGCTAGCGTGCATATGAAAATGCCAGTACCAGAAATGACATGCTTGGTAGTATTCCCTTGAAATCGGATCGGATATGAAAGATAAACCTACTGGGGGATACATACGACTCCATCAGACTTGGTGCACCCCCAGCTTTTAGATCACAGTCACAGAGTGAGAGATACTCCAACTCCAAGCTCACATACCTGTCCTCTCCTGTCCTGGTAATGGTAATAATACAACATAGGATGATGATGTACTGAGAGGATTTAGTGAACACTGAATGACAAATAAAGATTGTCAACTAACATACAACCCCATCACCATTACGTTTAAAACTAGAAGAATAGCCTCACCATATAATACAAAACCTTGAACTCAGGATAAGGAGAATACTTAGAATGCTTGCTACTGCCCCCAGCAATCCAAATTGCAGCCACTTGAAACATACATTCCAAGTTTTCATCTTTTTGGTCAGCAAGAGAGCATCAACGAGTTTCTGGCAATTTTTTCACGCATTTGGTTAGCATAAATTTTTTTCAAGAAAGCTGTGGAAAAGTGCCATTCCATGGTTTCACACGCATGAAAGTAGCAAGAAAATATTATGATTTACCTAAAAGGCATCATCTTTGTTAAATAGGATAACAAATCTAAATAAATTTGTATCAAATAAATTTTTTTTTTTTTTTTTTTTTTTTTTTTTTTTTTTTTCTGTAAAAAATAAAAGAAATATAAGAATTTATTATGTCACAGGAGGGCTTTAACACAAGCAAAAATCTATACAAAATATAGAAACTTCAGTCAAAATGTAAACCTTGGCCCTAGTGCGCTAAAAGCACACACTGCTGGTGTTTAAGGTGAAACGTCCCAAGAAAACGGGGATGACGCTTTTAGATTCCTACAGATATAATAACATTCAGCACCAGAAAGTTCAATGAAAGAAATAATAAAGTCAAGCGCATTCATTCAACAACTACTTTGACACTTCCTTGATCTGAACATATCACTGTTCTGAGAATCATCCCTCAAACTAGTAGCATTCAATTCGTTTCCTCAACTGTAGCATCAATGAAATCTACACCCCACACACCAAAAAAAGGAAGAACTACAGCATCAATGAACAGATATATATCATATAAAAGTTGTCTCCATATGAGGCAACTTTCCAAAGGTAAATCATCCCTTGACTAGATCATCTAACAGATTCAAGTTAGATGGTATCCGGCTGCTAATCAAATAATGCCCCCATTTGTCAATGAAGATCATTTCTTAAAAAATAAATTATTGAAGAAAGACAATGTGCAACAAATCATGAGAACAATTGTGAAAAATGGTTGAAAAATATCCACTGTTTGATGGAGCCACAAAGATATTTAATGTGATCAACTTGGTTTGTAAGTCAGCACAACGTTATTTCAAAACTAATTGGAAATACTTGATTATGAAACCAACTTTGGATTTCAGAACAGAGAATAATACAAATGGAATTATGGAAGTAATTAACAGCAACATTGTAAATTTGTGATAGAGATGCACAAGGCATGCTTTCCTTTAGAGAAAATTCTTTGGAATGTCATTTAACTAATAAAACCCAAAACTTGGCTGATGCCCCAAAATTTCAGAATTTTAAGAAACTGTTGGTAAAAGAAGGTAGGCACTTCATGATGGGTTTGGTAACACTTCAGTTGCCAAGAATCTCGAGGAAATTAAAAGAAAATTTTAGATTCTTGCAACAATTATATTCATGAATGGACTAAACATTTCAAGTTTTATTTTCCAACATCTCCACAGCAAATATATGGAATACCAGCCATTGTTCAGCTCATTAATTCTTTATGTCATTCTTGGATAAGTAATGAAATATACTATAATGAGTATTTACTAAACCAGGTCTAGTACACTAAAACATCGCACTAACAAGCCTGAGGTTGTGGGTTCATGTTTAAAAGTGACTGCTTTGTGCAAAATAATGCCAAACATAATACACTAAAAGGTTTCATTGAAAAAGTTCTATGGGATTGCTAACACATTTCCCTGGATCAGATGGCAGAGATTAACCTGATGATGATACGCATCCCCTAACTTGATAAAGCTCAGTCACACATGGCATACGTATTTCTGTCGCTACATAATTTATTATAGCAGTGACACACATCATGAATAAATTTCATGGTTTGAATCTTGAATGATACGTGGCTTTCTCTCATAGGCCAAATTTCTTATATATATATATATATATGGTAATATGAGGTGATTTTAGGCTATTTTCTTGTAAATAAAATTCTCATCTTTTAAAATAGTCTAAAACATAGTGAATTGTTCTAAATGAAATCCGATTAAAAAAGTGGACAAATGAATGATTCAATACAAATAAATAATAAAAAGATTCATAATATCGTTTAATTAAACTTTGTTTTCATAATAAAATTTAATTTAATGGGTTTTTTTTTTATTTTTTTATTTTTTATATATATATATTTTTTTGTGATCGAGTTTGAATCACAGGGAATGAAACTAAAGTTTTTCAATTAACATCACGGAAACCATTAGCCGAGAAGTTTATTGCAGAGAAAAGATTGATTTTCATTCCCAAAATTTGATAGCATGGTTATATTCATGGAATAATAAGCCTTTCTCTAACTAAAAACCCTTCTTCACAACTACTCATCTCTATCTCTTCTTATACATATATGTATCATATTCTATTCCTCCCAGACATATAGAGAGAGATGCATTCCCTAAATAAATCTGTATCTACTCTCTCTTCAAAGAAGGAATAAAAACTTTCCAAGTAAAAAAGAGAACGAAATATAAATAAAAAAGAAAAAACATGGCAAATAGAATGCTGCCACATTTTTCATGATAAAATCATGAAAAAACTTTCCTGATGTTTATCATTTTCCTATTTATTATCTGCACCTTGTTTTAGAATGTTTTGAGTTTCAATTAGAATCATGATAGTAGTTTGAATCAAGAGTGAAGAAGTGAATATTTTAGTTTAGAACTTTAGATGGACATACATTTATCGATGATGACGAATTGCTAGTACTGTCACCTCAGACTTGATCAAAGATAACAACAGAGCAGGAAAGGGAACACAATATTGAGAAGAGCTAAACAGTGAAGCACTTGGTAACCTAGCAATTTCATGAAATCAAGCTACCATTCATCAATGTTTCCTTTTCTGAAGCACTAAAATAGGATTAAGATTTCAATAAAATCAGTTTCATAACTTTATTGATTCCCCAAAATGTTAGGGGTTTAAGTGATCTATGGAAACACACAATTTACAACAAGAAGGACTCACCTCTACATAAAGCTTAATGCAGAAACACTATAATTGATTTCTACACAGGACAGGAGATTTCCAGGAAATTGCCGAAAAAGACAGTACCAAGTAAGCCATCCATTCCACGCATCATGCCGAGTCCCAATTCTTAGATTTCTAGATAGCGCTCAGCAGAATTGTACTCCACACGTTTACCTGCAAGCTCATTATGTATGTAGTCAATCTTTTGTTTGGGCCACAACCATCACCACCGGCAATAACAAACAAAACTCCTTGACAAACTAAGAAAACTCCATGGAAGAAAAGTCAGCCACTGGTCAAACTACAACTCAAAGTAGCAACCTCTAAGAAAGCCATCCATTATTGCTGCTCAGAACTACAACTTAATTACACACGTACCGTAGAAGTCCAAGGAAATGAAGGTTACATAATTGACACTACTCAACCCAACCCACCAATGCAATGCAATGCAATGCTAATAAATTAATAATCATTAAGACAAACATAACTGAATCGGGCGGCAACAGGATGACGAAGATGCCACCATCTATCTAAAGAGAAAATTTGCAGTTCCATAAAAACCCAATACCAATTTAATTCTCTCTCTAAGTAAAGACTCCTCACCACAACTAAAACGACCACAAGAATATATAACAAGTTATACATTCACAAGACGGAGCGATAATAAGCTGAATTGACAAGAAGAACAAGAAGGTGAGAAAGCAACAGAAGAGAAGAGTTACCCAAATTCAATCATCCCCAGTTGGAAATAAAGTAAGAACTTTCCTCCCATTTGCTGCTGTTGCCGATTCTAAGTCCTCTACATAATTATTATGCAGTGGTGCTCCCATTCGATGAACCTGCTGCGACTGCCTTGTCAGAAATGGATGCTCAAACTGCCCATTTGGTGGGGACCCAAAATGCCCCACCTGACGATACTGCATCTGCATCTGCGGATGTCCAGCCACAGCCGCCGCCGCCGCCGCCATCTGCTGATGGTGGTGCTGCAACGTCGCCACAGGCACAAAAGGCAAGAAATGCTCTGAATTGGGGCGACCCGGATGCAAGAAATGAGCGGGCACCGGCGAGCTGGCGAACAAATGATCGGTGGCGGGATCGGCTGGGGGCCCCAATCCCCCACCGGCACCTCCGCCACCGCCGGAGAGACCCTGCATACGCTTCAAGTAAAGGCGGTATTTCTGGAGATGACTGGCCACGTTCTCGCGAGTTAAGCCATCTACACTCATGAGCTGCATTATGGTCTTGGGGACGGCGTTCTTGATCCCCAAGTGGGCTACAGCATCAACGAACCTCTTGTGGAGTTGGGGCGTCCACACGAGGCGGGGGCGCTTGAGGGTGCGTGCGGGCTCATCAGCGCCAGCACCCAAATCGGTGGAATCGAATTCGGCGGAGGAGTTGGGTTGGGAAGAGGGGGGCTGAGGCGGCGGTGGTGGTGGTGGTGGAGTGTTGGGAATATCAAAAGCGATGGCGAGATCAGGGGAAATTAGGGTCTGGGTCAACGGCATCAGCTCTTCGGGGGATGGGAGTTGTTCTTCCCATCTTGAGAACCAATTGGAGTCCTCGTCTTCCCTCATTCTTCTTCTCGATCAACACTAACAACTTCTTTCTTTCTTTCTTTCTTTGGGTTGGGTAGTAATTTTTGGCCTTTCGAGATTTATTTGTGGGGTTTGTAATTGATAAACGGAATCAATAACCAGAAGCAAGACTACATAGACAGATATATACAAGTCAATCAGGAAAGGAGGGTCAATGGTGGATCAGGATGGGAGAAAAAAATCCCAAGGATATAATTGGTAAGATGGATTTATTTCTCTTTCTAACTGTAAGAAGATTGATTTGATTGTGTAGAGAGATAGATTGAATGTGGAGAAGGAGGAACGAATATTGGGGGCGGTTTTGCTGGCTTGGGGATGGTGGTGGAGGGGGAGGGGTGTTCGAGGTGGATCTTGTTTTCTTCTTCTTTTTCAGCTTTTATTATGGTTACTGTTGTTGCTGATTGCTACTAGTCAAATAGAGTAGTATATATAAATATAAATATATTTATATATATATATACAGGCAGTCTACCATGTGGTACAAAACAACGAACTTCTCGACGGATTAAAAGTCAAATAATTAATTATATTTTACTATTTTATAAAATGTAACTATAATTAAAAATATTAACTTTAATAGTGAATTTACCATAGTTAGCAAATACAATCTCTCGCCTCCTTAATTCTCAAAATCACTCTAATTTACATTATATATTACCCATAATGGAGAGTTTTCTATGGAGAGTTTTAGTATATGAGCAGTACCCATAATGGAGAGTTTTTTTATTTCTGTCTCAGTATTGGAGTTTCAAAAAATCCAAATTTAGAGACTTTTTATTGTTTTCAAGGCAGGATTAAGTGTGATAACTGGTCTATCTTAATTGAAAAGCAGAGTAGTACCCATAATGTAAATATGTATGGGCCGGCCCTAATTAATTTGTTTTCTAGACATGGTTGTCCATATGGATTGACCTGAGAGAATTGTGCTTCTGATTACACTTTCGACACTCGAATTTCCATTTCTTAGCCGTCGAAATCATCATTCATAATGCAGATAATAGCACCAAAAGTGGAGAATAGTGTAGTACAATAAGTGAACAAATATTTGCAGAGATATTTTCGATGTAACTCATGCAACTTCACTTTAAATCTTCTTCTCAGACTGCTGAATGGATTCCCTCCATGGACAAATTCAAAATTTATTTCCACTATGATAATTACAACTGTCAAATTTTTTATTTTCTATTTTTATTGTCATAAACCAGTTTATAAGTTTCTCTTTCTCGCGCCCTTCTAAAATTTTAATATCTAGTCATCTTTTAACTGTTGTAGGATTGTTATATGATATTCGACATAAAACATAATAAACAATATCAGTAGGACATGAAACTTTTCAAGCCAAAACCAACTTGAGTATTATTATTATTACTATATATATAATGTAAATTAGATCGATTTTGAGAATGAACAAGTTGAAACTACAAAAGCATTGAATTAGTGACCATCCAATCAAATATAAATGAGTTTCTCAATGTATGGTGACCTTTTATTATTTTCATGGCAAGATTAAGCAATATATGCTTTCTGTTTGAGACTCCATTAATTATTAGGAGTTGTGCTTATTCACGAACCCTAAAAATAAAAAATTGGTATCCTTTGAACCCTAAAAAAAAAAAAAAAAGGCCCATTCACAAAGTGTGGAAAATAATGGGTCTAAAGAAAAAAATTAAGAGAACAAAAAAATAAAAAATAAATAAGAGAACAATAGTCCGGCCATCAAGGGAAAAAAATTAATAGAACCAAAAAATAAAAAATAAAAAATAAAAAAATCAAAGTGCAAAAAGAAGAGAGAGAAAGAGAGAGTGCAAAAATAAGAGAGAGTGACCTGGATCTGTTAGCCTTGTAGTCTGATATTGGAGAATGAATATGATAGTTGTGTTGTGGCTGTAGTGGTGAAGACGGTGGCTGTGATAGTGTGGATATGGCGGTAATGGACGATGGAAGAGATTAAGGAGGAGAGAGATTGTATTAGCTAACTATGGTAAATTCACTATTAAAGTTAATATTTTTAACTATGGTTACATTTTATAAAGTAATAAAGTATAATTGACTATTTGACTTTTAGTCCGTTAAGAAGTCTGTTGTTTTGGACCGCATGAGAGCCTGCCTGTATATATATATATATAGTGTTCAATTGCTCTTTGGGAATAAGACTTTTAATTGTAATTTTAGGATCTAATCTTACGACAATTAGTTAATTAACTTTTCTTTTATTTATTTTAAGAAACTTAGGGTGTTTGGATGGGAAGAATAAGAGAGAAAAAAAAAGGATTGGGAGGGATTTGGAGAGATAGTTATCCCTCCAAATCCCTCATTTAGAATCCCTCCAAAATTGACAAGATTTGGAACAAATTACAGAAATGGAACAAATTATAGAAGGGGCAAGAGAGTTGAGAGACAGCCGGCTGAAGCTTTGCGAACGGCGATCGAACTGGAACAGCGGGTGATGGAAACTGATAGATATGGGTTTTGATTTTTTTAACAATCTGAAATGATACGTGGATATGGGTTTTGATTTTCACAGTTGCACAGAGAGAGGGAGGGAGGCTGAGAACGAGATGGAGGCTATTGGGAAGGCTAATATATATATATATAGTTTACAGTTGCAGAGAGAGAGAGTTGCAAAACAATAATTACAGACCTTGATTAGTTGATTTTGATTTTTGGAACAATCTGAAATGATATGCCGATATGGGTTTTGATCTTCTTATTCTTGTAGATTTTGTAGTTTGCAGTTGGAGAGAGAGAGAGGATCTGTGAGAATGAGAATAGAGAGATGGAGGCGATTGGTAATTCTAGAAAGAGAGAATGGTGAACGAGAATAGGGAGGCTGAAATGATTTTGTCCTACTAACCCTACCAAAAAGGGTAAGATGGTAATTTCATTATTATCCTTTCCCTTTTTTTTTTCTCTTTTGTGTTATCTAAACAACAATATTGCCAATTCCTTTCTTTTCTCTCCTATCTATCCAAACATGAATATAAATTATAGCTATCATTTCCTTTCCTTTCTTTTATTTTCTTTTCTCTCGTAATCCTTTTCTTTCTTTTCTCTCTTGTATATCCAAACGAGGCCTAAGGGAAAATGACAAAATTAGACAATTTATTAAAAGAAACAAGAATAAAATAATTTGGCTACTTTTGCCAAATTTGCAAATAGCCACTAAGACAAAGTAAAATTAATCTAGAAGACATATACCTAAATGATTTTAAGTATATAGAGAACATAATTCTCCATTAGAATACGGTAAATTAAGGACTTGGACACTGAGAACTTTTAAATGGATATATAATAATATATTAAAAGTTGTTTTGCAGGACCTTTCCAAAAAAATTTATGAAGCCAATAGTCGTCTCCTAATTCTAAACTAGTTGTGGAACAAATTTACAATCTTTAATTAAGCTGAGTATAAAACATGAATCAATCTTGAAATTTGAGTTTTGACTATAGTCAATACTTCTCCAGCAATATTTATTTCATGGCCATTTTATATACCTCTTTTGATTAATTTTATTTGGTTTCGGTTGCTGCTTACAAATTTGTTGAACAAACAACCGATAATGAGAAACCTAAGCAAAGAATAGCCAAATTATTTTATTCTTATTTTCTTTAATAAATTGTGTAATTCTTTCATTTCCCTTTACCGATATTTAATGGTATGGAAAGAAAGAGTAAGTTTCTTAAAATAAAGAAAAGGAAAGTTGATTAACTAATTGTCGTAGGATTAGATCCTAAGGCTACAATTAAAAGTGAATATATAATTTTGTGCTCACAGGGAGCAATTGAACACTACTGTGTGTGTGTGTGTGTGTGTGTATATATATATATATATATATATATATATATATTCCCTCTATCCTAAAAATGATGTCGTTTTTTGGGATAAGTCACGGTTCCCAAAAAACTACATCCTTTTTGGGACGGAGGTAGTAATACAGTAATAGGATAATTTGCATTGACACAACGATGAGGTTTCGGTCAATGTTACTCAAATACGAGTTAATGACTTTTTAAACAATGATACTGTAATACCCCTAATTTTAAAAGGATAGTCGCGGTATTTTAATTAAGAATTTTATTGCGTTTTTATTTAATTATGTACTTATTTGCTTAATTGGTTAATTATGTAGTTGTTTAAATTAATTGTTTAATTGAACTGGTCTATTTATTTAAATTAATTGTTTAATGGTAATTGTTTATATATGTAAATTAATTGTTTAATTGTTTATTTAATTTTAATTATTTGGTTAATTGTTGATTTACCTAACTTGTTTTATTTAATAGCTTATATGGTTTGTTTGTGTTAATTCTGTGTGCGTAGGTGGACTTAATTGGTTTATAATTTGTATGTGTCGTATATAGTTTAGGTTTAGGGTTTTATTTTATAAAGTTATGGTAGCCGACTTGTAATTTGGTTGGAATTAGAAGTAGGTTTAATAAAAGCCTATATATATAGAACAATATACGTCTGTTAGGGTTGGAAAACCCTATTCACGTAATAGTGCTTGAGAGGAAAAATAGAGGCACGTAATAGTTCTTGAGAGGAAAACAGAGGGAAGCTTGAGAGATAACAAGGGAGGCTAAAGGAGGAAGGAAGGGATTGCTCCTGGGTTAAACCACGAGCAACGGAGGTGTTGAACGGCAGTCGGAAATTTGTCGGAAAGCTCACAGACAACGTTGAAAGGTTTCAAACCGAAACCTAAAGGCAAGTCTCTATTTTAACTCTTTCCCTTAAACCTATGTTCTGTGCATGCCTAGGTAGACTCCAGGGATTAAATTAATGCTAGAACATATTTTTTTATGCATGTTTAAACTGTGTTTAAGTTTCGTTGAATTAAACTAGTTTGAGATTTTTTAAAGTGTCTAACTGAATCATGCTGTCGTTAATTGTAAGCTTTGTTTAAATCCATGTCGTTGATGCATAACAGTGACTTATAATTAATCTGGGACATTGATTTAACTCTAGAACAAGTAATAAAAATGTTACAGAGGCTCTAGGTATCGCCTGAGGCGAAGAAGATGAAATAGAATCGGACAACAGCTCTTAAGGGAGAGAGAGCAGGCTCCCAAAGAGGGGAGCCAGCTCCCTCAAAGCAAGAGCCAGCTCCCACATGGAGGGAGCCAGCTCCCAACTCCTTAGAGCCGGCTCCCATGGTTTTGGAGCAGGCTCTCAACTTGTGAGAGCCTGCTCTTGCCCTGAAACGCGCAGAATTGGTTTTTAGGGGTTGTTTGGGCTGTCTGGAGTATTTTTAAACTGTTTAAATTGCATTGAAGGATGGAAATAGCTGTGATGGACCTATGAAAATATTAGGAAGCATTATCACATTAATGTATTAAGGAATAGAGCAACATAAAGTGAAAGAAAAGTCTACAAGTGGAATACTGCTCTGTTAATTTGTTTGC